AAACCAAACTTTTTCTCACTTTTTACCCCAAATTTAACTTCTTTAACAAGTTATAAAAAAATTAAAATGAAAACCAAATACCCTCTAGAAGCATGTAGTCCGGTACAAAATGGGGTCGGTTCGACACTTTGCTTTTGAAAAGCATGCAGTCCGACCCAAAATAAGGGCAATTCGGCACTTTGGACAAGCAGTTCGGCACTTTGGGCGTACGGTCCGACACTTTGGGCTTTCGAAAAGCATGCAATCCGACACAAAATATGAGCGATCCGGTACTTTGGTGGGGTCTGACACAAAATGGTGCGGCCCGGCACTATAGACATTTTCGTCAATAAATATGACTTTTTTTTTGGGGGAGTATTTGCTAGAAAAGTTCAATTTGGGATACAAGTTGATAAAATAAAATTTTGTTGGGAGTAAGTTGTCTAGAAAGTCTCATTTTGAAAGTTTTTTTGTAATTTTTCTAAAAATAGATTTAACTTTTCAAGGTGGATTATGCCCCTAAACCTCTATCTACTTTGGGATTCGTACTTACCTTCTTCTTCTTTTTAACTTTGGGATTCCTACTTACCAAAAATATTATGAATTATTAATATCTTGAAGAATTGTAGTCATACTTTTATGTTTATATGGCATGTTATAGAAACTAAAATTTTTTCTTAATTAATGTATTCACTAATATAAGTAGAAACGTATTTAATTATATTACATAATAATCTCATTGAAAATACCGAAAATAAAATAATAATAATAAAATAATGAAAAAGGATACAAGAAAAATAGTTATATAACTTAACAAAAAATGTAAATTATTGACTAACAAATAAAAAAGAAAAAGAGAAAAATAGTTATAAAGAATATAATTTTATTTTAATGATTAATATTTAATGGACAAAGTTTTTTAGCCAACTCATCTATTTATATTAATCCTCCATTCCAAAGTCCGTATTTATATTACAGTTTAAGTAAAAAATAATCATATTATATATTTTTTCTTAACCGTTTATTTGTATATTTTGGTGGAACCACCGCATTTTAATATTCATCTTTAAGATGGATGTTAATGGCTTCGGGGATCAAAATATAGAATTTCGCCCCTTGGAGCAAGCTATAATTTTTTATATTTAATATCACGTGCAATACACGTGCATAATACTAGTTTTATTTAGATGCTCCATACAAGATTGAGAAGTGTACACTTCTCAGATTTCAATGTCATACAACTACTAAAAATAAAATTGAAAAGTAAAATGAAATGGTAACCGTCTGTTTTTTTATTTCTAATCTTGACCGACCGAGGTTGTGTATGGAATACGCAAATTAAATGCGTTACTCTTATATTTATTTATGGAAAACTCTCGGGGGAAAAATTTCATTAAAACAAAAGAAAGCTTTTTATGTTCCTCTATAACATAGAAGTTATATTCTCCCTTTATTTTTTAATTTTTTTTCTATAAACTATTTTGACACCAAATTTTGGACGTCCATTCCTCTATTAAACTCGCACTAACGAAAAATATAAAAAAAAGATTTCAATAAAATAAAATAACCAAACTACCCCTAAGAGTTTCAAGGGGTATTTTGGTCATTATTTTTTTTCGAAATAAATATTGTTAATATTTTTTATATGTGCGCCCTAATAAGAAGATAGCACGTATCAAATTTTATATTCAACAAATTTGCATTAAAAAAACTAAAAATAAAATACTTTGATATGTCGGATCTAAGATCAAACGGTGAGTGGCTCTCTTGATGAAAAATGGATGGCTGGATGGTAGGGAGAGGATAGAACTTCTATATTGTATGAAAAACATAGAAAGATTTCCCTTTAAACAATAGCCTATTAAGCGTTGATCCATATTTATTTGTGCATTGCGCCAAGGTCTAATCCTTGTGTGGTGGTTGTTTTTTCTTTTTTTCATGTTTGGCTTATGGGTCCTATGTTCTCAACATCGGATTGATAAAATATTTTTGTTTTTTGTTTTAGTAGAAAGGATGTTTTGTTAGACACTTGGGTCTTTTAAGTTTGAAACATTGGACAACCTTGGTTGGTCCATTATCCAAAACATCAGACAACCCTATCATAAGTTATTGCCCCTATTTGGGTCGGTCCAATGGAGGTGTGCCTTAATTGGATGGTTCAAGTTTGCCACCTTAAATATTGGACTTGTCAATTTTTTTATTTTTTCTTTATTTCTTTTGGAGCAATCCGATGTTGATAACATGTATAGCTTTTAAGCATATATTTATATATTTATTATTTTAAGTGTTATGACAATTTCACCTAAAATTTTAGGTTAGTACTACTCTACCCATTTTATATCCGTTATTACAATATTTTGTAATTTTTTTTAAAAAATGACCAAATTTGAGATAGTTATAAAGATGCCCAAAAAGTAATTTTTCTTAATTTTTGTTATTTTTCATTTTTTTTCAAGGGGAATAACACTAAAAAAATCAAGGAAAAATATCTCTGTAGACCCAATTTTTAAATTTTATTTATCTGTATACCCAAACTTTCCAAACCTATCTTACAACGTAAAGACTTATCTTTTATATCTTCTGACCCCTTAAACTAAGTCTACTCATTTTTACCTTAACTTTTTACCCCAAACAAATTTGAAAAATACCTATTTAAAAAACTAGTGTTCTCTATTTTCTCTATCTTCACGTGCTTCTCTCACGGGGAGAGAGAAAAAGTTGAGGAACAAGGAGAAGACACAAGGGACAAAGAGAGAGTTGGGGGAATAGAGGGAGAGATTTGGGAGATTGGAGAGAGAAAAAGAAGAACTTGGAGAGGGGTTTAAAAAGGATGTCTTTGTAAAATTTGTTTGGACTAAAAAATAGGATAAAGTTAGTATAGGGGTTTGAAGATATAATAAATAAAATCTTTATGCAGCTAGATAGGTTTTGAAACATTCGGTTTATAGAGAAATGAAACTTAAAAATAGAGTCTATGGAGATCTTTTCCCAAAAATCAATTCAACTTTTGAAGTTGTATTATGCTCCTAAATCTCCATCTACTTTGGGATTCCTGCATACTATTGTTTTTTACTTTGGGATTTCTAACATATTTGGCATGAAAAGGACAAGATAAAAAAGCCCAATTTCTACATAGTGATTTATTACCAAGGTATTGCAATGGGAAAGTATATAACGTGACAATTTACTTTTAATACAAGGTGGTCATAATTTATCTTGACCATTGTCAATAAATTTGGCTACATTTATTTCATTGAGCAAGCTCAAAGTTTAAAATAAATTTTTTCAAACTTTATGACATACCTAAGCTATGATATTAAAAGGTCTCATTGTACATATTTTGGTTTTTGTTTTAGCCTTTTGGGTAATTCAATGGGGAAAACTGGGGTGTGAGGATGCTATCACCATGACCCAGCCCCTTTCTCCGCATTGTATGCATTCCCCATTGCAATATGTTATACCATTGATTTCCAAAAGATAACTTTTGAAATTTGAGTTTTCAACATTTAGATCTCACCATTTTCAAAATGGCATGATCATTCAATCTCAAGGCATCATTTTTTCCTTTTACTTTTTTGGGTAATTCAATGGGGAAGGGATGCCCGTTTTTTAAGTAGATTAGGAATTAGCTTTTTTAAGGTATTAGTAGGGTGGTATTAGTGGGCAGATTAGGAGTTAACTTTTTGAAGATATTAGTGGGGCGGTATTAGTGGTGAGAATGAAAACCGCAATGTGGTGACTAAGGTATGGGATGCTACCACCAAGAGGACTCCGTTGTTTCCCAAACAGATGAATTATATGAAATTATTATATTTGGTCCGAGCCTTTTGACATGTTAAGGGTTGGAATGGAGAGTAGGACAATATGTTTTTCAAGTGCACAAAGGTACAATCACGAATTTATTTTTATTGAGGTCAATCTATTAGCCGAAGATGTTACATCTTCAAAATTTAGGGTCCTAAAATTAATTCTAAGTAGGATTAATTTGGAAAGTCTCGATCTATTAGGTTAGAAAATGGATATATGGCAATTCAAATTACCACATATGTACCCAAAATATGGAAAGTAGAAATACATTATCTTAAATTTAAATTCTATAACCTTGGTAGACATCCATAAAGACAAAGTAGATCTATGCCAATTTAAATTAGAATATATCTCCTATTATCTCTCAATTTTAGGATCTGGCTTCTATGTGTTCACTGGCAATTTTAAAAGATATCTACTTAATTTTATGAGGTTTTAAAAAAGAAATTACCTCTCCCTCACACCCCACGTAACTCTATCTCTCATGCCCTCATTCTCTCTCTCTAGCCCCTATTCTCCATACCCTCTCTCTCGAACCCCCTTCCCTCTCACGCCCACTCTCTTTCTCCCCCTCTCTCTATATCTCATCTCATACCATATCTGTCTGTATTAAATTTAAGAGTTTCTATTATTTTTAGGAATTTTTTTTTGAGATAGGATACTTTATTTTCTATTTCAAAAGCGCATACCTTATAAATATGTGTCGACCCCTTAACTCTAACTTAGTAATGTAGTGTAGATTAAACAAAAAAAAGTCTATAAATTTTAAAAAAAAACCTCAAGATTAAATAAAAGTTGTCTAATATTTAAAAAAGACGGTATACAATGAGACCATTTACCTTTAGAACAAACAAGTCAATATTACTTATCACCATCACATGTGAAATTTAATAGACTAGACGTTTATTTTGAACTTTGAGCTTGATCAATAGAATAAATACAACCACCTAATTTTATATCGAATGGTCTAGATTTATTGTGAACACCTTGTACTTAAGCTAAATGGTCTCATTGTATACCTTTCTTCTTTTAAAAGTGAGATCTAGAAGTTAGAAAGCTCAAAATTTAAATTGTTTCCTTTGAATCTAACCATCCAGCGAAGTTGTGTCAAAAAGATCTTCTCGAGCAAGTATTCTGCCCAGCGGGACAAGTGTACAGTATATGCCCGCAGTAGCATGCTATAGGAGATATTTCCCTTTACAAAAGCATGGTTGATAGCTGTAGCCTTGGTCGATTTTAGAGCGATTTGAAGCTGAGGAAATGGCGGCGAGCAATGTGCCCTCTAAAGAGGCAGGCGTGCTTGGCCACGAAGGCGCAGTGCTTGCTGCGCACTTCAATGGCGATGGCAACTACTGCCTCAGCTGTGGCAAGGTTCTCTATCTTAACTGTTTAAGTAGGGATTTATCAATTTGGTTCGTTTATTTTGTAATACTAGTATAGTCATTGAGTTTTATTCAGGCGATTGCTTCTCTGTAGTTCCTTTAGCCAATAGGGTTGGGGAACTCTGGCATGTTTTATGTGTGGATAATGTGATTGTGACCTAATTTATCAGATCTTTGGGCGTAAAAGGTATTTGGTTCAGCTTAGTGGTAAGATGTATCAGTTTGGTTGTTATTAGGCTTGAATCAAGGATCAGGAAGACGGAAACCGCCAGCCGGGGGTGGGGTTCCCAACCGGTTCCCAACTGCGCATGATTCAGATTCATTCTCCATCGGTGGATGGCTTTTTTGTTTGGAATGAACCTGTTATCGTGTAGTGTAAATTTATTCGTATGGAACATTCATGAACAGGACGACTCAATCAGAAGTCTCGATGAATTTTTACTGGTCGAGGGAATCAAGTTCATCTATCTCGAATCTTACTGTCAGAATAGCTGGTATAGTCACGATTCACGGGATCAGGTCCACTTACTTTTTATTGATTTCTCACTTTTTTTTCCTATGAATCTCATTGGACAATGGAGAAGTAGAATACTTTGTCACTGGTAGGCACTACATACTTGGGGAGTGAGGGAGGGGTGAGAAAAGTGGTGATGTAGGGTTTTCAATTATGGAATCTAGTTACATATAAGCTAAAATTTTACATGTTTAAAATATAGAACTGTAAAATTGCCCAAAATTTGACATCTATTAAGTGAAAATACAAAATCACAATAACATGTACATCCATAAGCATTTCAAACATTATTTAGAACTTCGAAGTTTAGAAGTTCAACTTCGACAAATTGCACTATCCGAAAAAAATCCAACACATTCCAGAGTTCCAAATTCCAAAGTTCCAATATACAAACATGACATTACAAAGAATTAAAAGATCATTAACTCAAAAAGGGCTCAATTGGGTTTCATCATCACTTCCAACAATGTCATCTCTTGTCTGTCCCACCAACTCTCTATCAGATGATGATGATGCCATGCCATCATCCTTAGGATCATCTCTCTATGATACATATCGATCTTCTTCATTGATCTCTTCCGAGTCTTGTAGCTCTGCTAGAACCTCTCTTTTGCAACCTCGTTGGTCTCCGAAAGACCAGAGTCGAATGTCGTTCAATTTCACAATAAATCGAAAACTTAGAGTTTAAAATAAATTTTCAAAAAAATTCGATTCAAGCTAAAAAATGTGTTTTCAGGACGAATTCTCTCTTTCTAGGGTTTTGGGAGGCCAAACCCCATAACCTATTTCCCCCCTGCCAAGGAAGAAAATGACTAAAACACCTATTTCCCCTTTTTAAGGGGGAAAATTAATAAAATTCCCTTTTGGCGAGGGCAATTTCCATCCTCACCAAGAGGGCCAGGGGCGGGCGCCTAGGTGGTAGGACCTAGGCACCCCTCCTAGGCTGTTGGGCAGATAACCAGGGCTACTGCTACACCCTTGGCCGTATAGCCTCTGGGCAGGGCGGTGAGGCCTCCCAATAGCTCGGGTGGCTTGGGTGATGACCGAATTTTTGAACCTAGGTTTGAATGACAGACTACTGACCTAAAAAGATGATCTTGTTCATTTGGGTGTGAAGTAGAGAGAATTTGGTGGACATAGATTCCTTGCTTGGGCCTAAATTACAGAGAATTAAGTGAAAATAATGTATGCCTTACGGATTGGCATAATCTTCAGATGATTGGAAATGCTTAATTTTTTATTGGAACCCTTGGATTTGTATCGAAGAAATCTTACAATTGCCCTCGCATGGGAAACTGCGTATAAAAATATCAGTTCTAGACAATGATTTAAAAAGTGGACTGCCTAGCGCCTAGGCAGCTTGGGTGGCCTCCTAGCGGTCTAGAAGGCCTGGGCGCATCGCCCAGGCCTAGGCGGCAAAAAAAAAGGCAGAAAAGCCACTCGTTGAGGGCATGTTGTCATTTTTTTAATACTAAAAAGGCAAAATTATGGGTTTTTGGTTCATTTGAAACCTAAAACCCATTAGAGCCTATTTTAAAGAGAGAAAAACCCCAAATATTTTTGGTGATTCCCATAATATCAAAGGCTTTCTCAAATTTATGAGAAATTAATCTAAGCATCACCTATTGATATTAGATTTAATTTTGGATGTTTTATAAATCTATTAGAGGGTTTTTTTAGAAGATTTTGAGTAAACATATTAAAGATTTTGAGTACTTTTAAATTTTGCTGTGCCTAAAACCCTAATTCTAATGTTTTATTAAGTTATACTTATACTATTAGAGACTGTAGAGACACTTTTTTTCTACTAGGCTGTGCAGGTTCTGGGCGCCCGCCTAGGCGCTGGGCGGCCTGGACCCCCTACCCGCCTAGGACCCGCCAAACACTTTTTGAAACACTGGTTCTAGAGGCTAAATACTTCACAATGTTAGCATTTGAAACAAAATTTCTGATTGCTTGTTAGAGCTTTTATTCATTGTTTTTTTTTTTTTTTGCATCATAGTATATGACCATTGAAGATGGAATCTGATAATTTTGTTCCACATCAAATATGGAATACATATAATAGATATTTGGCTAACCAATTTTGGGATCATAACAAACTTATTTGCTTTCAACCCGAAAGAAGAGGCTTGATATTACCTTGTTTGTGCCAATAAAGTCCCACGGTATCAACTCAAAATAATTAAATTCCTATTTTTTATGTTGACTCTATTGATTACAGATGGCTGTGCTCCTGTCTTATTGAAAATTTATTGACAATCATGACAGATGGATTGATTGAGGCCGACAGTGTAAGATTGTGCAACAATTCTGTTGCTAAAGAATGCCGAAGGATGACTCCAGTTTTGTGCAGGAACATGTATTCTTTACAAGCTGATAACAGTTAGGTATGTCTTCTCTTCTACTGCAGTGGAATGTGTCTCTGGTACCAGTTGAGCACATTTATTGCTCTCACTTGACTTTCCATCACTTGTGTAATTGTACCAAGTTACCCATGCGTCATGTCACTCTGTCTCTGTTTTCAAATGATGCTTCTTTAATAAATTTAAGCTGATTAATTCTTTCCAGGGTTTTGGATGTCTATAGATATTTCCGGTACAGGAGTTGACTGAAATGATCCTCATAATTTATGATGGTTCTACAACTACTCATGTAATAAAACAATGAAATAAAGTCCCAAATTTCTGGTTCAGTGTTTCTATTATTGTAAGATACTATTGTCATCCAATTTCAATTGAAAGGAGGTGCATGTTTTTGCAATTGTAGCAAATGGAAGCTGCTTCTTGTGCTGAATAATCACTCAACATGGTGAATACGTGGTGTCAATTGAGGTTGATCATTGACCTCGACAATTTATAAATCTTTCCTGGTTAGATAATAATGTCTTTTCTAGTTCTGTTAAATCATATGGAATATCAAGGGTCATTGGGATTACTTCAGGCTCCTTACTGTGCAAATTGTTTTACCATTCCTCATAAGTAAATGAGAAATATCTGATCTTTGAAATAATGAAACTACTTTTTAACTTTCTTTTCATGGCTATAACAACTTCATCAACATCAGAGCATTGACAATATCTTTTACTTGGATTTCACAGGGACAACCCCAAATTATGTTCTTGTGGTGGTGATAGACAAATCTTTTATTGGGATGTCAACCGGTCGTGTAATACAAAAATTTCGTGGTCATGATAGTGTGGTATGCTTTGTTATTGTTTTGTTGTTATTTTCATTGCCTATTTTTTTTATTGATAGTCAATTGCTGGAAATTTAATTTGGGATTAGCTTTGTGCTATCAAGAAAAAATATACGTGATCAATTCTTGCATTGCATTCTACAGAAGCAAAGGCTAGAGTCTTCTTATAAGTGCTATGTTATTATATGCCTCACTGTGCAAAACAAATTTTTAAGTAGAGGCATATCTCATTGTCGGCGAGCAAGCCTCTTTTGGACCACGGAGGATTGTTGATGTATTGGAGGGGAATGTATATATTGTAAGCTAGCGGAGATCTCACTCTAGTGTGTTGACTGGAAGGTAATGATATTACTGACTAGGTACTGGAAGGAGGACGTCTTCAGAGTGAACTCTATAGGATGCATTTCACTTTGTAAGTTTACAACATATTTATTATTAGTTAAACCGACAAGAAGAAGGTTAATTATCAAAAGAAAAGGAAAGAAATTAGAACATGTCCTCATTCTGAGCATTAAAATTTTATGTCACTCAAGTTAACCTTAAAAAAAAACCTTCATATGACTGATGTCACCACTTTTTATCATTTCAGCCTTGTTATTACCTTTATGGTGAATTTTACTGAAATTTTCTTTTTGATAAGTAACCATTTCATATAAAAGATATCAAGTTGCACCAGACAAATAGAGATATATACATTGTAGAAGAAAGAAAAGAAGAAGGGGAGATATCGCCGAGAGAGTTTTGAAAAGTATGATGGTGTATGGGAGCCAGAGGAGTGAATTTCTACAATATTTTGCTCATAACTCATCACCATCAAAAGTCCATCAGATGGCCATGATTATCTAATAATGTTTTCTTGTACATAAATGATTATAATAATGTTGGAATTTTTATATATACTTTTTTGAACAAATAGGATTTTTATGAAATTTGGGGAATATGTACATCTAAACATCTCGCAAAAAAATAAAATATCAAAAATAATTATAAAAAATAAAATGACCAGAATACCCCGAAAATATTCAGAATACCCTCAAAATATTTATAGGGGAAATTTGATTTTTTTATTATTTAAATTATTTTTTATATTTTATTCAGGTCTGCCTCACTAAGATGCACACACCCTTAAAATTTGAGGTTAGTCTAACATGTGAAAAATTATTAAAATCCAAACACTATCAAACAATAATGGCCATCTTATGGACTTTGGATGGTGAATTGCCATGAGCGAAATGCTATAAAAATTCACTCATGGGCATTTTAATAACTGATAGAAAAACTACAATAATTGGGAGCCAGTCCCAAACAATGAAAACTCTAGTCCCCTTAGGAAGGGGGCCAATAATAAAAAAATCCACGCCGAGGGGCGCTTCTTTGGCTAACGACTCAGCAGCCTCAGTTCACTCTCCTAATGCCTGAAGGAAACTTGGATGGCATTGTCCAGCTCCATTATTTGCTTAGAGACTTGATCTAAGCACCAAGGCCACATCACAGATCTATTAGCCCACTGAATTGTGTTCTTGGAAACCCCTTCAATGAATAATGAATAACCCCAAGTGCTGTCAAATAGTTTGAGACTTCTAGTAGAGCCCTAGCCTCTGCAGTTGTCGAAGTAGCAATGCTGATAGGGCCCTTGATTGGTGGAGACTGAGCAGTCCCTAAAAATGCACCCAATTCCTGCCGCATCTAGATTTGCTCAAGGAGCAACCGTTGATGTTAAACTTGATGGTTCCAATGTTGGGGTGGAGCCATATAGGAGGACCTTGGGGATGGACCTTGGCTCAATTCTCTTAATCATGTTGTATAGGACTTGAATCTTTTGGTGATAGTGGCCCAACGATAACCGTCGCTTTTTTCTTGTCTTTGATGGCCTCTATGTTGATTCGCTCCTTTTAGAGATTTAGTTGTTCCATAGTTATCAGAATCTCTCCACTGATCTCTTGTTTCTGGTTCTGAAATTCGATTCTGTGTTTCTGGTTAAGAATCTCCACGAAAACCTTTTTTCGGATCCAAGGAAACTTGATTCAACACATCTTTATAACCTTTTTTCGGAACCAAGGAAAATTGATTCCTTAATTTTGGAATCTCGATTCAACACATCTTTAGAAACCATTTATCAGAACTAAGGAAACTCGATTCCTTAATTTCAAAATCTCGATCCAACACATCTTTCGAAACTTGAACCCAGTAATTGTGGGTAGACGTTCTCAAATATATTGATTCTGGATTCCAGCGGGGATTAAATCTTGATTCCACGTCAATTGGAGTAGAAAACTTCATTTGAATGCTTCTAGTGGTTGCAGGGTTTCATTATTTTACTTGTGTCACCCTGGATGACCTTTACTTTAAAGTTAAAATATAATTGATAAATACAACACATGCAATTAAAAGTAAAACCATGGCGAAGACAATTCTATTTTGTCTTTATAATAATGAAGCCAAAATCACAATTTAGAAATACTGATCTTTTGTATATAATGACCGTAAGTTCAATAGTCAACACAATCACTTTAAAATTTGGGAAACCTTCTAATAAGTGACATCCAATATAGGTTCTAAAGTTGTTGAGGCTCAAGATGTACTTGTGGCTTTTCCATAAAAATGAAATCTTGATTCTTGGTAGGGGTCTTCAAACGCATTCCATAGGCCATATTATTGTAAATCTTCATCTCAAACTGGCATAGACCTCTGATCAATATACTTCAGAAACTTGATTCCAAATATGTTAGAATCACGATTCGAAACAGTAACATATATCTATTCCACATATGTCAGAAACTCGATTCCATAGATGTCAGAAACTTGATTACGCATGTTAATGAATCTTGACTCCTAGAGTATTGATTCTAGGGGGATGGGAGTCTCGATTCCATATGTGGATGAAACTTGGACCTATTTATGTCGAAACACAATTCTCAAAAACTAGGAATCTTGTTCCTAGCGATTCTTATTGTATGGACAACGATTCCTAAGACAAGAATCTTCTAGCCGGCCACGATTCCGCAATTTTTGTTCTAAAAACAATTCGGCTTCCCAGGCATTTCCAACAACTATGATTTGTTCCTTTTAGTCCAAATAACCTATGGGGAGGCCAGCACTAGACGTCATGACAATAACAAATATGTGTAAACTTATAATATGTGTAAACTGTGAATGATAAATTCAGAAAAAAGTGGAACCAGAATAACCATATAATTAACTACCTAAGTTTTGGTGTGATACTATGATTGAAGCAGATGCATGCCCACAAAAACGCATTGGATATAGTTAGATATTAACTTACATTGGAGCTACCAAAAAACAAATACATACATGCATCAAAACAAGGAACTAACATAATAAAATATCCCATCTCATTTAGTCCCTTAGGCTTTAGATTAGTGTTGGTATGTTAGCAAAAGGTCATATGTTCGACCCTTGAAGTTTGTTCTAACAAAGGAAGCCAAACTGTCTTAACCTTCTTCTTACAAAAACTCATCAAAAGAAAAAGGAAAAATGTGATAAATGTGTCGTGGATTCTTCAGCAAGAACCTTAAGTTCTGACCATGCATAGTTGGATGCCAACTTAGGTTGGAATTCTCTGGTCAATAGCTGCAATATAGTGCATATACTTTCTGAGATTAGAAAAATGTAACTAGGGGCTGGAAGGTACAGACCTACACATGAGCAAGGGGGTGCAGCGCTGAACTCATTAAGGCATTAACAAGAGCTTGAAAAATCTTGATATTCTTTGTTTAGAATAATGTTGGGATCATTATGAAATTTGATTAGTTGCTTTCAAACAAACCAAATCGACAAAGAAACAAAAGTGTGTTGAAATAAAACCACAGGTACCTACAAACGTATTAAGTGGGTGCAAGAATGATTCAAAAATAAAAAATGGGAAAGACACTTCAGAGTTTTAAGCACAAAGATGTCTCTCACTCTCTTACACACAGAATAGGTTGATATAAAGCAGCCCCTACCTGGCCATGTTTATGGTGCCAAACCTCCCCTTGAAGAAAATTTCTATGCTGCCGAGGTGCCTAAAAGATGACATCATATGTTTCCCATTTTGATGAGATTATATAGCAAAAAGTGCCCCTAAAGTATCCTACATATACAAATGGGATTGAGGACGGATTGATGTGATAACAAAAACATAGAACGCGACTTTATTTAATTTATTCTAGTATGCGTATTCATATTTCATTTGATTTTTGATTGAATTGGCACTTCCAATTAAAATTATTGCTTTAGTAATTGCCCCTACCACCCCTGTAACAATCCTAAACTTTCAAAAATATATATATATATAATAATAATAATAATGTTAATGTTGTTAACAGAAATAAATACAAAAAAAAATAAATAAAAATAAATAAATAAAAATAAAATAAAATAAAATAAATAAATAAAATAATAAGTATATATTAGTAATGATAATAATAATAATAATACTAATATACCGTTAGGATATTGTTGCTTTTATATAACAATAAATAAAAGATATTATTGTTAATATATTTGAAGGTCCAATTTTACTTGGGTGGACCTTAGGTCCACCACCTTAAAGGTTTATAAGAACACTCATTTAAACGACACCTTGCGTTGAGGTGTTCCTTTTTTATACGTCTTTTTCTCTCTCTCTCCTATGCATATCTCTTTTAACAAATTTGTTCCCACCCTCTCTCTAAATACAAAAGTGGCTAGGATCAATAGCGATTGATCGCGGCAAGAACCTGTGAATAGCGCTAATGGCATTCCATCCTACAAATTGAAATCAGTGGATAGAAAATCATTTGGGTTCTTTCCTTTTTCTCTGAATTTGAAATATGATCAATCGTAGAAAAGCCCCATTCAAAAAAAAAACCGAAGACTGGTTTTCTTAGTTCTATCTGCTTCCCCAGTTTCGAAGTTAAGGTAAGTGACATCGTCTTCCTGAAAAATAGTCTATTTTTAATAAATAGTGATATTTCTGTCTAGGATCTTTATTTTATCAGTTTTATGTGTAAGTGACCTCATTGTCTCAAAAAATAATCCATTCTTTTTAAAAATAAAATGAAATAATTATTTCTGCTTATTATCATGAATTTTAGGTGCGATAAATTTTATGCGCACACGACCTCATTATCTTGAAAGATAATCTTTTTAATAAAAATT